AATTGAAAAATAATCTGTTGGAAATGATAAATTAACTAGTGATGGTATATCATCAATCAATCAATCAATCATTACCCATACCGGATGTCAAAAAAAAAAAAAAAAAAAATTCGGATAATCAAACCATAAAAAAATATCGAAAACCATATTAATAATAATAATAATTTTATTTATGTATATTTTATTTGGTGAAATTTTATTTATTTATTTATTTATATTATTATTATTTATTTATTTATTTTTAAAACGAAATTAAAAACAAACAAAAAATCGGAAAATCGTTTTATGTTTTCTTCATTAATAAAGAATAAAAAAAAAAAAAATTTAAATTTTTGGGAAAACCATTTTAAAAAAAAATTCATGGAAATCATCATCATCATCATCATGTATACCACTCCCGTATTTTTTTTTTTTTTTTTTTTTTTTTTTTTATTTAACAAAATTTATTTTTATTTTTTTCTCGTTTTAAAAATATATTTTAAGTGTCAAAAAAAAACGGTAAAAACATTATAAAAACCGTACCCGACCTAAAAAGCGAAAAAAAAAAAAAAAGGGATGGAAAAGTAAAAAAAGGAAAAAAAGAGTTATATATATGTGAAATAAGTTGTGATACCTTGTTGTTGTTGGGGTACCACTACCTTCATTCAGGTTCTAGCGGTCCAGCATCATGGTCACGGATGTTTTTTTTGGGATTTTTATTTAATTTATTTTTCGTATTTATTTCCCTATTTTTTTTTTTTTTTATTTGTAAATTTAAAACAAAAAAAAACACCCGTTCCCGAATTTTTTCTATTTTTTTCTACGGATTAATAAATATTTTTATTTAAAAAAAAAATTTAAATAAAGAAAAAATAATAATAATAATAATTTTTCGTTAATAATTACGTATAAAGGTAAGTTTTTTTTTTTTTAATTTTTTTTTTTTTTTTTTTTTATTAAATAAATTTTTTTTTAATTTTTAAGAGTAGTAATTTTTTTACTAGAGTATTATTATCATCATCATCCCCTTTGATAAATTTTCTGAAACAATTCGATTTGAAAATTTATTATTAAATGGAAAAATCGTTTCAAAACATTTGACTTTAAAAAAAAAAAAATTTTTTTTCTGTTTTGTTTTGTTTTTAAATATTTTTTTTTTTTTACCTTAAAATAATAATAATTAGTTGTAATATTAGTTGTACGTATAACGGGGGGGCTGACAGGGGGAAGACGGTGGAGAAATCATAATTTAAATCACTAACTGAAACCCACGTTCGAATAAATAAATGAAAAAAAATACCGTTAAAAAAATTCGTTGATAAGACACGTTAAAAATTTTTTTCTTTTCTTTTCTTTTCTTTTCTTTTCCACACGATCAAATTTTATTTATTTTTCAAAATGTCGGATCTCATCGGTATTTTTCTTTTAAAAAAAAAGAAAACAATTTATAAATTTTTTTTGATTC